CTTCGACGATTCGGGGGTTTGTTCATCCAGTTATTTTTTTTGTTAATTCCCGTTATTATGTATGGATTCACACACGCACGCACACGCACACACACCACACACATACATGCACATACATGCACATGCACGCACACATACACACACATATATGCTCACATGCACGCACACACATACACACACATATAAACAATTTTTTGACCAATCAAAGTTTGAGATATACCAATGAATGACCTTATCCATAACGATAATTCTATCACCAATGATGATCAAATTACCGATAATAAAAATTAAAATAAATACTAGATAAATTGATAAGGCGTTAATTTAAAATTATTAAATCTAATAGTGATAACAAAGTTAAAAAAAAAACATTCGCTGATAACTCCAGAATTTTCTCATGTCATGTGATGTAACAACCCAGTGAACAGATACGGAAACAAATTGTTTCTTACTACTAAATAATACTACATGCACAGATTCACGGCGGTATTTAGCCACGTAAAGCATCGCGTAAGCAAATATAGACCCACGATAAACTTAATATACACAACATAAACTCCTTGTGAATTACGGATGAAAACATGAAGAAAAATACAGACACGAACACTAGAGTGACCAGAATATTGTAAATAAACATAAAAATAAAAACAAAACTTAAACAAAACCAAACAAACTTAAAAAGATAAACATAGAGTAAACAAACTTAGATGTAAACATTTTAAACATAAACAAAAAGAAAGTAACCAAAATGATATACGTCTTCGTCATGATTAACACAAACTCGAACCTGACCCCAATGTGGAATGATATAAACACGAAGGTGAACATGAACCTAAGCTAAAGAACATTAACATAAAATGAACATAGACATGAAATACACATAAACATAGACGTAAAATAAACATAAATACAAACATGAACATGAACCTAAACTAAAGAACACGAACATGATATAAACTTAAACACGAAATAAACATAGACATGAAACCAACATAGACATAAGATAAACAAAAACATGAAACAGACATAAAATAAACAAAAAAAAAATGAAACAAACATAAGCGTGGAGTAAACATCAACACAAAATAAACATAATTACGAAATAAACATGTATACATAAGCATTAAATAAACATAAACACGAAATAAATATAAACACGAAACAGAATAAACATGAACATGCATATACACGTGAAGAAAATCACGAGGAAGGATGCATGTACTGCGAATGTGGTCTGGACATGGCCACATTTTCGCATCATCCTACTTTATTGCCATTAACGTTCGCGCACAATTTTCGCATCTCCGAATGAACATCATCGTCGTCGTCATCATCATCGTCGCCATCATCATCATCATCATCATCGTTTTCATCATCATCGTCATCATCTCGCCTCATCGTCATCATCTCGTGGTCGTCATCATCATTTCTTCATCGTCATCATCATCGTCACCATCATTACCATCTAAATCGTCTAAATGTGAGTCGTCTTCACTCTCATCATTATCATTGACAACACCACCATCATTGCAGATTTGACTGGACACTGATTGAACGACTGAAAGTTAAAATAGAAAGTGAATGAATGAATGAAATGGTCACCTCATCCATCATTCGCTTGCCAGCAAATTCATTTGTGTTGCTCATCTGAAGTGCAACAGATATACATTAACCATTCACACACACACAACACGCACATACACAACACACACACACACACACACACACACATACATACACACACATACACAACACACACACACACACAAACAAATATATTATTTGGTAATTTTACTTAGGCGACGTTATGACGCTATGGTATGTATAGCGCCCGTGTTTTTTGATGCAGGAACTGAGTTCAAATGCAAAAAGATTCCTGCTCACCAACAACTGTGTGTGTGTGTGCGATGTGGCGATTTGACTCCACACGCACTGTTTTATAAAATTTACACGTTACTATTGTTTTTGTTATTATTTTTATTCTTCTCTTTTTCTAATTACATTTTTTTCTTCTTTTTCTTCTTCTTCTTCTTTTTATTATTATTATCATTGTTGTTGTTGTTGTTGTTGTGTTTGTCATATTTACCACTAAATCGCCGCGAGTATGTAATCAGCTTATATGTGCTGAGAATATATGAACTGAACAGCCACACGTCTTAAAAGTTAAAAATTTGTACATTTAAAAATATTTATAAAGAAACGAATGAGGAAGTATTTTTAAAAGAATAATTGATGGAGTCTGGAAGAGTCATGAGATGAGTGGCTGCGTGGATCTTGCGTCGGATCCACTGCTATCGATTGCACGACCCGGCAAACAAAACGAAAGCAAGCTCGCTCGTCACTATCAACTTTTAAAATATCATCAAACAGAAATGCAATAATGATAATTAATTTACGTATTACGGCAGGTACGATCAGTTGGAAAATGAAAGTTGCACGCCCACAAACACGAGAAAATTTCATCACAATTATGTACACACATACACACACGCACGCACACTACCCACGCAGGCACACGGACACCTACACATACCTACACACAAACACACACGCACATACACACGCATGCACACACATACACACACAAACACCTACAAACACAACCATGAGAAACCGCAAAGAAGCCATCCATCTTCAAAAAATTTCTGCGGAAGCCCCATGATGAAAAATGTGAATGATGGCAAGAGGAAGTTTTCAAGTAGTAACAAACACGTTGCATGTGCGAAAGATAAGGTGTTTTTTGTATGTATGTTTGTTTGTTTGTTTGTATCTACGTACGTATGTGATTGTATGTATATGTGTATTAGGGTGGTTACAACGCTATATGTGAATAAAAAAAATTTCGAAATCTTTTTTCATCAATCTTTGGTTTTATTTTGTTCACTGATTAGTTTTCTTCAAATGTTACTATAATCACTATTTAGCTACAAGTTATAGTTTCTGACATATTTGCATTGTTACAGATACACATTGAAAAAACGTTGAATTTCTCTATAACACAAAAACACACAATAACTTATAAAGAAATGTTTTTAAAATAACACCGTTGTATCTAAATCACTATTATTAACAAATAAACACATTTTTTATTCATATTATATTGTTTATAGTTGTTATACATCAAATAAATTTCTACTTTAACTCATCGTTCAAAAGGTAGAGGCTCGGATAAAGAGGCTTTTGAGCAACCAGGAAATTTTGTCCGACATTCAGCAATTACTTGCAAAAGATATTGTTTTTGATCTTCCTCTTTTGTAATACATGAGTTGTAATCTGTTATTAATTTAACACCCCTTTCTGCTGTATCATTTGAAACTTTTAATCCGTCCACAATCTTTTTACTCTTTAAATATTTTTCGTTATTACTCCATAATTCTGGATTGGTATGCAAAAATTGATCATTAATATTAAATCTTTTTAAAAAATTACTTGATTGTGATGAAATAAAATGGTCCGCATTTTTGTCCAATATTTCTGATACTTCATTTATTTTTATTAGTGGTTTCATATCACAGTAGTCATCAAGTTCTTCATCCTTATTTGCTTGAGATATTAATTTTGTTGCCATCCTCTTTTTTACACAATTACTTAATGAATCATCGAATAATGAAAAAACAGCCTGCTCTGGGATTGAAGTACTATTTGTGGTTGATAAATTTTAAAACTGATATATCTGAGATAAATTTATTGACTTTATTGTAATTTACCAAAGATTTTAACAATTGTAAATCTTGGTTTGGAGCAAGTGCAGGTTTCGGGGCATCCAACCACACTTTCACATAAATATTTATAATAAATAGGCAAATATCATGGAATCCTTGCTTTTCAAAAATTGTCAGTTGAAACTGTTCTCTGAAAAGGTATATTTTCAACGAATATATCGCTTTTGCCATCCACCTTGCGTGATGAAAAGCACTAGGAGCCGCAAACACGATGTTTTCTGACGAAAGCGTTCTAAAAATATAAGACAAAAATTAATCAATTCTTTGTAATCGCTCCTTGGATGATGAACTGTTAATTGTTATAGAAGATAACTTGAAATTTGACCCGGATTAATCAATTTGCTGGCTACACTCTTATCTTTAACTTCAGATTTAAATTTTTTTATCAATGTTGTTCCATTCAGTTTTAAATTTTTTGAAAATATCCGATTGAGAGCCTGTAGTCTTTCCCATCCCAGCATCAAAAACGGATTTCAAAACTACCTCAAAAATGTGGTGGCGACATGGAAGATACAATAATTTTTTCTCCATCAATTGCACTAATGAAACGCAAGCACCTATAATGCGGCCAGTATTCACGGCAGTTGTGTCAAAGTACATTGCTTGAATCTTGTCTAGTGCACCCCACTTTCCAAGTTCTGAATAAACAGATTTTGCAATTGTACTGCCAGCACCATTTTCTAATAGGGGAACTCCAATTAACTGTTCTTCTTCTCCACAGCTAATTAAGACTGCAACTCTTTCAACATTTTCTTTATTTAACATATCTGGAAGTAATTTCCCATCCCAATGTATAACTGCTCCTTACCAAAAATGAGAAATCGTAGAAAAACCAAAAGATCTTAATATTAATACATAAAAACAACATAGAGCACCCGGGTTAGTAATAGTAAATAATTTATTGTGTGTTTTTGTGTTATGGAGAAATTCAACGTTTTTTCAATGTGTATCTGTAACAATGCAAATATGTCAGAAACTATAACTTGTAGCTAAATAGTGATCATAGTAACATTTGAAGAAAACTAATCAATGAACAAAATAAAACCAAAATCATGTTTCTAGAGTGAACCGTTTTTATTTTACAAACCAAAAACTGCGTTTTTTTCAAAATTTTCCAATTTTTCGAAATTTCAACCTCGATGAGGCACGGGTTAGCATTATCCAATTGAGCTAAAACTTTACATATGTCATTTTTTAGTCAAGTGGCACCATTTAGGGGGTTCCCCCGATAAGATTTTGAAAAAAAATTTTTTGTGACCACCCTATTGTGTATATACTTAGGTACATGTATGCATGTAAATGCGTAGGCCTACCATTCTTCGAATGCTTATACCTAATATCATTGAGTTCTGAAGATGTAGCACCTCCTTTGGCAATTAAATGTAGAAATTCAGTATAGGCTTGTTTGTGTATTTGTGAATGTTGTTGTAAGAATGTGTTTGATTGTTTAAATGTGTATTTTTGTATAATGATGAACGTTCGTTTAAATGTACAATTTTGTACGTGGTTGTATATAAACATTTGTATGTGAAGTTTTGTATTTACTCATGTTTGTAACTTGTATAAATTTTTGTGTGTGAATGTATGTGTGTATGTGTGTGTGTGTATGTATGTGTGTATGTGTGTGTGAACGTGTGTGTGTATTTCCTTTTATATTTGCTTACATAAATTTTAAAATAATATTCAAACTTATTCACATACTTATGTGCATTTTTTATTTGTAAGATTCTATGCAAATTGGAAAAAAATATAACAGAGCAAAGAAATAATATCAATCTTTGCATCGCTTCCACCAACATTTACATGCAAATGGAAACCAAGCTACTCACATTAAAAAAAATTTTTAGGCTGGCTAAAATTGTATTTCTTTTTATTGTATACTTGTTTCTCTTTATGTTATTAATACGTTTCAGTATTTTGATTACTCATAATGTTAATCTTTACATTATTTTAATATTTTATTTAATTCCAAACTTTAATGTTCCTCACAGCAGACAGTCTTGCAATATCTGAGGCTGCTTTTGTGTTAAACAGGCCTCGTTTAAAAATTGCACTATAGTCGCTAGCGGTCGTAATTGAAGTAACTGCAGTATGGATTTTTGTATTGATAGTAGTAGTAGAAGTTCTACTCATAAAAGTAACAGTAGTAGTAGTAGTAGTAGCAGCAGTAAAAACAACAGCAACAGTAGTAGTAGTCAAGTATTAGTAGCAGCAAAAACAACAGTAGTAGTAGTAGTAGTAGTAGCAGCAGCAGCAACGACAATAGCAGCAGTAGTTGTAGTAGTAATAATATTAGCAGCAAAGGTAGTAGTAGTTGTAACAGTAATATTAGTAGTAGTACTACGACAACTGCTACTGCTACTTAGAAGTTGGAAAACTGTATTAGCAGCAGTCTTTCTATCAATGGTAAAACGTACTATTAAGTTGCAATGGCAATGGTTGGTTGAGGTGGTTTTAGTTTGAGTGGCTCTGGTGTACGATTTTGGAGCATATAAATTCATTAATATTATCAACATACATTCATAAACATACACATCCGCACATACATAAACATACACATCCGCACATACAGAAATATACGCATATACATATACATACGCATATACACATACATAAATGTACACACATGCAATACTGAGATATACAATGTTTGTTTAAATATTAGTATATATGCAAGCATATACATATCAAATAATTGATTTTTGTTATACATAGGCATATAGATTAACTTACATACAAACAGACAGACAGAAAGACAGACAGACTGATGGACAGACAGACAGACAAACAGACAGACAGAGAGACAGACATACCTATTCAAATATCTGTTACTTTTTTAAATGTAGTACGAACAATGGATAGGATTTAGAACCTAATATACATATATAAATAGACATACAAATGCACAAGTAAGCAGACTGACATACAGACCAACACACAAAAGTGTATATTCAAAGTTGACGCGGATATTCAATCACAAACCGAAATCAATCTCACCAATCAAACTGACATACAAATGTTTGCATAGTCGCGTACCTGTACATATAAAAAAATGCATTATGGATGAGTAGAAATTGCACACTGCATGCACAAACACACATAAGCATACAGCAAATATACTCACAAACATGCACAAATACACACACGCACACATGCAAGTGCATGAATGCACGCATTTTTCAGACTTATCCATGCTATCCACCTAAATATTAATACGTTGTTACATGAATACATTGTCTGAAGAAATTCGTAGAATATAAAATTTTTGTGATACTATGGTTTTCTGAGAAAAGAATAAAAAATAATTGAAGAAAAAAATGTGAGATGTAACTTGCGATATTTTTAAGAAATTTATTTTCAATTTTTAAACTGCAGTGATTTTAAACATGTTGGTGATGCTGACGATGACGACGAAGAAAGAATGCAGCGAGGTCGCTTGCGAGCTGCTACCCCTTTCAACATTTACCTACGCGAACGTTAAAGCAACGTTTGTTCTGTTGTATTGTGTTGCTGGATTGATATAGCGCCTCTTTGTGGCTGACTTCAGAGGTGCTACCATCATAGGTGATCTTAGCTGTGTGCAGTTGTTGATTGAACGGTGATTTTTAAAACTTTTTTTGAAGTCACTTACGATGATAACATTTTTAAAATCGAAAAATAGCTCATTCTAAACTTGTGTAGCCGGAACAATTTTTTACCGAAAATGAAAAAATTGAGAATCTAAAGTACTAGATCTTTGTGATAGGATGATTCCAGTTGACTCTTATTAATTTATTTGTTCAATTTATTCAGGCACAGCCAGGAACATGCCGTGAACCAGAAGTTTAATACAAGCTTGTAGGGCCACCCTAGACCCAGGAATGTAAAAATGTACAAAAATAACTAGAAAACAAAATTATACATCCGAATGAAATATAATGTTCAAATAAATGGCTGTATAAACAGATTAGTAACAGTAATGTATTAAGTGTTCATGAAAAAAACAACAGACTTAAAACGTTCATAACTGGTACAAGAATTGAATCAATGATGGATGTTATTGAATCAACTTGCAGTAGCAGTTGATTCAATAACATCTAAATTACGATAAACAGACAGTGACACACATGTGCCTCATTTTTTGGGCATATACGCAGATGAGAAATGTTAAAACGTGGCTTACTGCAGTTTTTTGTAAAAGATTAGAGGTGGGTCAACATGGGTGGGACATGCCTGGCTGTCCTTACCCTAAAATTTGACGGCAGTCCCTAAAGTGGAGGTGCATGCAAGTTGCTCTGTTGAGGATTTAGAGGGAAAAACACGTTTGAAGACGTTTAGAAATGAACTGAAGCCAATTTAGTTCGACAGAGCATTCAATCATTAATCATTAATCTGTCTAATGAAAAATATCAATCAAAGCGCGAAAGATAATAATAATCATATATAAGTACACACATACATAAGTACACGCACACATGTAGATGCCAGCACATACGTATACGCATATACACATTCTGCACATGCATACATACATACACATACAAACATACATACACACGCACACACGCACATGCCTATACACAACAATCATACAAACAACTAAAATGCATACAATTCTGGATAGATGCAACGCCAACGGATACAAAAAACCATACATCAGATTATCTCTATAAATAGAAAGACTAATACATTCTCTCTCACACACACACACACAGGCACAGACACACACACACAGACACACACACAGACACACACACACACACACACATACTGACACATTAGTACGAGCAGTAGTAGCATAGCAAGGAAGTATTTTTAGGAGTGAATGAAGGGAAACTACCCTTAATTATGCGTTTAATGGAAATTACGCTCCGTGAAGTGTTTGAGAAATAATGCAATTTTACTTGAGAGGATGAATTAAACATCTATCACTCTATCCAAATATTCATTCATTTTTTTTGTTTTTGGTATCTATTTCTTTATTTGCTTAATTATATATCTATCTATCGATCTGTTCATTCATTTATTTAACTTTTCAGTCAATCATTAAGTTTTTTATTTATTAGGTTATTTATTTAACGAACATTTTATAATATTATTAGTTAATTTATTTATTAATTAAACTTACAATCCATCCACCATTTTGTTGCACTTTTATTAATTTTTTGTCAATATTTCCATCCTTTATACACTAATGTAACTTGTAACAGTTTGTAACAGTAACCATCCATCCATCCATCCGTCCGTCCGTCCGTTCATCCGTCCGTCCGTTCATCCGTCCGTCCATCCATCCATCCATCCATCCATCCATCCATCCATCCATCCATCCATCCATCCATCCATCCATCCATCCATCCATCCATCCATCCATCCATCCATCCATCCATCCATCCATCCATCCATCCATCCATCAATTCATCCATTCTTCCATCCGCTCACACATTTATTGCAGTTTTTTTTTATCTCAAAATTGTTTGCCCACTGGAATGAAACGCACACACAGCCAGCCAGCACGGCAAACAATCCCAAACAATGAAAATCCTCGTGCATTTCAACTAATGAACAAATAAAAAAACACGAGAACAAATAACGAAAAAACAACAAACAAACGAACGAACGAACGAACGAACGAACAAATAAACGAACAAACAAACATTTTACAAATGATTGGTTGGAGGCAACATATTTTAAATCTTCATCCTCCTTCGTATCTTGTCGCTTAGCTGCGTTAGTGTATCAGTTCACAAGCATCACTCGGAAAGCTTCACTCACAAGTTGGAAGGTTTTTGACTGTTACAAAAAGTTTTTCCCAACCACCAAAGATAGAGTATAAAAAACATCCATCCAGAATAGCTTAAAGTATTTGCACATTAATGCTTGTTCATACAAACGCCAACTAAGAAAACACCAACACGGAGACACACAAACTTGTACACACGCGCACACACACAAGCAAAAACACACATACATACAAAGAAACACACGCATAAAAGCAGAAATACACACATAGACGGGTGTTTTTATTTGCGCGGGGTACTTCATTCCTTCCTAAGGACACCAGCCAACGTAATGTGATCCCAGTAAATGCGATTATGTAGTCATAATCTGATTACTTTTCGCTTGCACGTTCGATTAAGTAAGACCTGCTTCAAAATAAAACTCAACGGCTTTCGAATAAAATTTGTAATCTGAATAAATTTTGTATTAAAGAAATTTCAGAATGAGTAAAAGAAGTTTTATTACGAAATTCGAAATGTTTAAATTTTTCAAAATGAAGAATCCATTTGTCGAAACCATTGCTAGTATTAAAAAAATCGCTTCTCTGCTACTTACCTCAAAATTCAACTCACGTCCAAACAACCTCGCATGGATGTTTAAACACCTCGTTTAACAATATTGTTCATGTTCATTGACCGCCGGTTCATATTCGTTGAAGTTGGTAGGTCTCATCTCATTTTGTTGATTGCTTTTTTAGCTTGTTTAGTTTTAGGATGCACGTGATACGTATTTAAATGTGTAATGCGTGTGTGTGTGCATCCGCATGTGTGGTGTGTGTGTGTGGGTATGTGTGGGGAAAGGAGTGTTGACAAATTTATATTTATCAAGTGAATAAAAAACGAACGAAACAATATCGTTTGAACGATTGTTATTTCCATATCCAATTTCACATTTACTAACCAATTTCAGCCAAAATTTTCAGAAATGTAAATGTTGAAACATTTATTTTGGTGCCAGTTAAAGAAGCGCTATATCATTTATTCGAATGATATTTATCGAGTTGCAGACATTTTGAAAGATGAATTGGAAAAAGTTGTGAATGAATTTATCGAAATGTCTGCCGTCAGACTGCACGTTTCACTCACTCATCAGCGTTTTATTTCTAACAAATGGAATTAATTGTTCATTTCAAAGTTTTATTTAAACTTTTAAACGTTTTTTATGGCAATAGAAAACTTTTCCATAAGTTTTGTTGCTTGTCCCAGCATGAGTATCTTGCCAACATGAACTTGCCTTCTCAATTTTCTGAAAAATTTAGCCTCACTACGACGTGACTATAACAGACGGTAGATTTAATTCTTGGCCATTAGAAATACGTTAGCTAATTATTTTTTAATTGTTGATCTACTAACTTTATATTTAATATTTCATCAATGAAAACTTCTTATCTGTAGATTAGATAGGTGGTGTATATTTTGGGTATTAAAATATTAAAATTTAACGGTTCCACACACAAACAAACCACATACACACACACTCACTCACTCACTCACACACATATAAGCACGCACAAACACACACACACACACACACACACACGACAGCTCACGGACGAAAAGAGAGCGTATTTGAACGCGGCCGCTACGAATGACGTCATGATGGTTCGAAGTATTTTGGCGGGAAACGACTGGTTCCCAGCCGACTTCAACTACAACTGCGTTGATTACATGGGAAGGAGTGCCCTTCATCTTGCTGTTGACCTTGAAAACGTCGAGGTCATTGAGATGCTCTTGGATAAGATGAGGTGGGATTGAGAGGTGATCGAATGGATGGATGGTTGGACGGATGAATGGATAAGAAAATAAATAGATGGCTGGATGGCTGAAGGGATGGATGGAAAAAAAATAAATAGATCCATCTGGCCATCAATCTATTGAATGATGGACAGGCGGATGTATGAATGGACGTGTGATTGAGTATGAACCGATAAATGTTTGCATTGGTGCATGGTGAATGAGTAGCGAGATGATGATACAAAAATGTGATTTCAATGAAATATTACCATATGGTCAATATGATGGTTTTAAACTGAATATCATGGAAGAACAAAATTAGTTTAAACCGGGCAGTAATCTTATAATTGACATTATCTCTGCTGGACGGACATCAATGTCGGTCGAGTAGATACAATTATATTGATGGTCTTTATTCGTCATCAATCGTCATCACCATTACCACCATCATCGCCATTGTCATCATCTTCGTCATCGTGTTATCATCACCACCATCCTCATTATCCTCATCATCATAGCTGGTCATGCAAACAAGAGGCACTGTTACATGCAGTCAACAAGGGTTACACAAAGACTGTGAGAACTTTCATCGAACATCCTTCTTTCGTGGCTGGTGGTGCTGCTGTTGGTGGCGTGGGTGGCCCTGGCGGTGGCGTAGGTGGTTCTGGAGGTGGCGTAGGTGGTTCTGGAGGTGGCGTAGGTGGTTCTGAAGGTAACATGGGTGATCGTGGTGGCAGCTTCGTTGGCGGCAGCGCCAAAAAAAGAAGAAACGAGGTAGATTGATGATAATGTCATTTTTATTCCGCATCTTTATTCCCAGGACGTGTGATAATTTTTCAGTTTTGTCTCGTACGCTTTCGAACCGGTCACTCCAACATCCCTGCACAAAACGTAACCTTCCTACCGCTTGAGCTAATTAGCTTATTAGCTATAAATGCTGCCAATAAAAACTATTGCTACTAAAACGTATAGACTGGTGTCAGAGGACGTTATGTCAATCGACTTTCAGCACGATGCACATTAAGTTGGAGGCATGATTGTACAACTGCAAGCAGAACAGCTAAATTATGCATCACCCTTTTTGTAGCGTTTCTGTCACAAGTTATTGAATCAATCGTTTCACTGTTTGTAATGACTTGAAAAATAACATCACCATTAACAGGCCGTTAACATCACCATTAACAATATCAACAACAACGACGACGACGTGAAGGAGAGCAGTCAGTTTTCGAGCGACCTGACGCCGTTGATGCTGGCCGCGCAGACGAACAACCACGAAATCATCCAA